GAAGAGTTGGACACGACTGAAATGACTGAACAACATTCAATGCCATCATGTCTCCTTACGCCCCTCTCCCCACAAGCCCTCTACCATGTTCCCTCCATCCCAATACTGGCCAGTCCTCTAATGAGATTCCGTCACACATCTCATGCTACCAAACTTGACTCAGGACAGTGAGGGGCAAGTCAAAGAAACATACCAGCCCCATCTCTAAAATCCCAAAGGTGCATCTCTTTACACTCCCAAGGGACCAGCAAGCCTCAGCTGTAGCCTGGTTCCCAACAATCCAGCCTGGAAGGGAAGGCAGACTTCCCTTCCCCCCCCCCAGCCAGAAATGTCCAAGGGAGAGGCTGTCCCTCCAGGCTTTTCACTCAAAAGCTAGTGTGCCACCACAGAGTGCTAGAAAGTGATGCTGTAGGTAGAGCCTTGGGCTTGGGATCTGGAAGACTAGGATTCCCTCCCCCCACTCTTATCAGCTGTGTGACCTTGGGTAAGTCTCCATACCTCCTCTGCCTACAGCGGATACAGATCTCCCCAAATCTGGAAGTTGAGGATGTTGGACCTGATATCCTCCAAGGTCGTTTCTGGCCCTCAGCCTAAGTCCTGGCTCTTACATTGCAGGAACACAGAGTGAGGGTTCTAAGGCTGCTGAAGAAGGCCAGAGGCACTGGCTCCTCAGGCAGGCCCGACTGCCCCGAAAGGCCTGCCAGCTCTGCTTTGCTCCCTGCTCTGGTGTGGGGTCCCAATTCGGTTCTGCCCACCCACCACATGGTTTGCTCTGCCCATGGCCGTTCCCGGACACGTGCCTGTCGTCATGCCTGTCCTTGGGCGAAAACCTTTGTCCAGGCCCATGTCTGTGTCCGTGCCCGTATGTGTGTCCGAGTTCATTGCTCAGCCTTTGGTCTGGGCCTTTGCCCTTGGCCTGGCAGTGCTCAGTCTCGGCTTGCAGGCCCTCCCTTGCCTGTGCCCTTTCTCTTGTTTTCATCTCTGCTCTGGCAGAGGGACAGTCAGGAGTGCAGGAAGCAGTATGCTTCTCCTCCCCCATGTGGATGTAGTCTTGGGTTCCATTTCTGGTGCTCTGCTACCATCTAGTGGCTACAGACATAGCCTGAAGCTCCTAAGGGCAGATGGTGCTATCCCTTTACCTTTCTAGAGCCCAATTACTCTTACCCACCGTGGAGGAGGACAATTTGAGGCCTAGAACCCTTGTTTCCCTGGTCAGGAGCCTCCTCAGGCATGCCAAGCGACACCCTGGAAGAAGAGAGCTAAGCTGAGAACAGAAATCCATGAACTGCCAGTTCCAAGGAAGACCCCCTTTGTTGTCCCACACCAAGCCCCGAAGCAAGGAGTGTGCCAGCTCCTTGTGGGGTGGGGGTGCTTGCCAGGGAGCTCTTCTGGGCTCCTACTGGAAGTGTCATTTGTGCCCCTGCCAACCACCACAACTGGACTGTAGGCATCAGGTAAGTCTTGGGAGAATCTCCATTACTTCTTGGGGACTAGACCTGGGAGGGCAGCAGACTACTGTTGTCATCAAGTCAGTAACTGCCTCAGTTCCCCACGTCTTCGAGGAGTCACCAGCCACCTTGACTTGGACCCTCAGTGAATGATCTAGCATTCACAAAGACACCTCCATCTCATTATGTCCAAACCACATCTCAGCATCTCTCCTGTGTCCCTTCACCCTCTGTGACCCTCTTCACCCAGTTGTGTCTGACTCTTCGTTACCCCATTTCGGCTTTTTTTTGTTTGTTTTTGTTTTTGGTTAGGCAATGGGGTTAAGTGACTTGCCCAGGGTCACCCAGCTAGTAAGTGTTACATGTTTGAGGCTGGATTTGAACTCAGGTCTTCCTGAATTCAGGGCCAGTGCTCTAGCCACTGCGCCACCTCACTGCCCCCTCGGCCTTTCTTGACAAAGGTACTGGAGTGGTTTGCCATTCCTTCTCCAGTTCATTTTAAAGAAGAGGAAACTGAGGCAAACAGGGTGAAGTGACTTGCCCAGGGCCACACAGCTAGTAACTCTCTGAAGCCAGATTTCAACTCCAGAAGATGAGTCTTTCTGACTCCAGGACAGGCATTCTCTCTGTTATTTCAGGTAGTTGGCCCCATCCCCACGTTCGGCCATCAGACGGTTTTCTGCTCATCTTCGAGTAACCTCCGCTCCTTTGCCTTCCGCTTGCCTTGCATTCAATGTCACTCCAGTGGAAAGAGTCTAGATCAGAGATGTCAAACAGGTAGCCTCATCCAGAAGGTATAATGTGATGATTAGAGAGATGAGAGCAGACAGGGAAAAGACAGGTTGAAGGAAGAGAAGAGCAGAAAGATGAATAGAAAGGAATTGAGGGAGAAAAGCTTTAAGGTGTATGGAACAATTTCCTCCTACCAACCCTATGAGGTAAGGAATAAAAGTGTAGCAAGGACCATTCCCTCCTGTGTGGCATGGGGGCGTAGTTGTGTGTCTTGAAGGGATGCAAAGTAGACATCTGTAACCTGTTCTCCTCCCCCTGTTCTCAAGGGGAGGCTTTCATTCCAGCCATGAGGGGAAACGGGAGGTTGTGGCTACAGCCTGCCACTCTCCTCTCCTCGGAGAAGAATACTGGGCTAGAATTAGATCTATCTGATCCCTTACATGTTATTAGTCTGACCTAGACTAGACAGGGGTCAGGAACCTGCGGCCTGGGGGGCCCCTAGGTCCTCAAGTGTGGGCCCTCTGACTAAATCCAAACTTCACAGAACAAATTCCTTTAATAAAAGGATGTGTTCTGTAAAACTTGGACTCAGTCAAAAGGCCACGCTTGAGGGCCTAGAGGGCCACATGTGGCCTTGAGGCTGCAGGTTCCCCATCCCTGGGGGAAGCAACTGCAGACATCAGGTCAAGAGACCTGAAGACAAGTCAGGGAAGAGGTCTCCTCTGTGCCACTCTGGATGATCTGACCCCGCCCCTCATGCAGGGCCAGGAGCATTGATTTCCACCAATAGGGAGAAAGTCCCATACCAATAGGCTTTGGGACTTGGGTTACCCAAGTATGATTAGTTACATTTTACTGTACTCATTCATTCATTCATTCATTCATTCATTCATTCATTCATTCATTCATTTAATTTTGGAGGTGACCACAATTTACTTTCTACCCCAGTTGCTCTGTGATCTTGCACAGTGTCTTTACAAACTGCTGCATGTGGTAACCCCAGGCCCCAAGGAGAAAACAGGTTAAAGGAGGTTTAATGTCTTCCCCTTAGCCAGTGGAGTGGACCTTGAACCCAGACTTTATATGCTCATAGGATTAGGAAGAGGTCTTAGTGACCATCTAATACAAGCTCTTAATTTCACAAAACAGGAAACTGAGGCCCTGGGAGAGGAAGGGATTTGTCTAAGATCACCAAGTAGCAAGTAATTCTGACCCCAAATCCTGACCTTTCCCCATTAAATCTAGTTTGCCTCCTCAGGAAGGAAGATGAATGAAGCGTTTATTAAGCACCTGCTGTGTGGCAAGCCCTATGTCAAGCCTGGTGGATCCAAACAGAAGAGTCAGACAGTCCCTGCCCTCGAGGAGCCCCCATTCTAACGGGGGAGGCCACACTTGGGGAAGGAGTCCGACGGAAGGCAAGGTTCCAGGGTCCTTAGGGAGGCGCGGCCAAGCAGGGGCCTCTTCTCTGATATCACCCATAAAATGGCAACAGGCTCTGCTGTTGAGGCACCGGACCGCCGTGCCCAGGACTTCTCCTTTCTGAGGCCTTGGGAGCTGCGACCGGAGCCCCCACGGGAGCAGTCCGTCCCCAGGGTTTGCTTGCCAGGAGGATGGCTGAGGGCCCGGGGCTGGAAGCTTGGCTGGTCCCAAGGCCCTTGGGCTCAGGGACCATCTGGGCTATCTGGTCTGAGGGGAGCTGGTGGTGTTCTGGCACATGCTGTCTGTTCTCTCCCTCAGGGGGCCTGGCTGCTTCAGCCAGGTTGGCTTGCCTGCCCTGTGGGTGGCACTTGGTTGGCCGGTGGTGGGGATGGCTGGCCCCTTCTCTGTAGAAGTTGCTTTCCTCTGTATAACAGCCATGAGGGTCAGGGTAAAAGCAGGACCAGTGATCTGGGGAGTGCAGCCACTCTCAGGGCTCCTGTAACTCTGTCTGCCTGCAGTTGGTCAGCAGCTGTTGCTGGTGGTGATGAGGAAGGTGGGCCCCCTTCCCATAAGACTTTCTGCTCAATGATGGCTGGCCTGGAAGTAGAGCTGGTGGCCCGGAGGACACTGCTCTTCCTGAGACCCTTGGGCTCAGGGTCCTGAGCTGTCCCATCAGGTTCTGAGGAGAGACGGTGGTCCAGGCGATGGAGGTGGTCTGACTGGCCTGGTACATGCTGCTTCCTCTCTCTCTCTCTCTCTCTCTCTCTCTCTCTCTCTCTCTCTCTCTCTCTCTCTCTGCCTTGAGATTCGAGGAGAGTGGGAAAGAAAGGAGAAAGGACTGGAGACTGAGGGACAGAATCAGAGTAGATGGAAAGAGTGGAGGAGCAAATGCCAGGAGAGAAATAACTCAGGAAAGAGCAAGCAGGGAGTGAAAGAGGCAACATAGTGTAGTCCTAGGCACACCTAGGCACACACGCACACACACACACACACCACACATGCAGACTGGGTGAATTGGCAAAGGATTCCCATTGGCCTTTCCCCTTTCTCGCAGTGGACAGAGTACTAAGACCTGAATTTGAATCCTGTGTGACCCTGGGCAAATCATGTAAGCCACTGGGACTCCCTTCTCTCTTCTGCCAAATGTGGTCACTGAACTCAGTGTCATCTAAATCTCTAAAGCCCCAACTCTAAATCTCACATCCTATCAAAGAAGAGATGATCAGGAAAAGAGAAACCAAGAGGAGAAGGGGAGGGGGGAGAAGAGCAGGAAAGAGAAGGTAGGAAGGAGAAACTTCAGGGCAGGGTAGGCGGGAAAGACATCAGGGCCTGATGGCAGGTTGGACTTGGGGGCAGGGTGGCTACAGGCAAGGCAGTCTCCCCACAGGGAGCAGTTGCCTCTCAGAGGACAAAGGCTGTGTAGGGTCTACCCAGCAGCTTCTCCACGTCCTGATGCTTCACCCTCCAGCAGGGGCCCCTAGACAGCAACTCCTTCCCTGGGACAGCAGGGGCCAGAGGCATGTTGGGGCCATTTGGCCTTTCTAGCCAAGCCCCCCTGACCGTTTGCTTCACAAAGAGATCCGTGTGCTGGAATTGTCCTGTGGGAACACATGAGCAGAGAGAGATTTGGTGTTATTTCTGGGGCTTGGAGATTAGTCTCTCTTTCTAGGCCTCCTTTCATTTCCCTTCCAACCAATGGGGGTGATGATTCCTGTCCTGCCCACTACCCAGATGCGTAGCAAGGGTGTGATGAAACAAAGCGAGTCCCCAAGGGTTTGGTCAATCCAGAGACTTTTGACCAGTATCGAGGGTTTTGCGAACTGGAATTCTAGTTTTCCAAACCAGAGAGGCATTATTAGCCAAAAAAGAATCTTGAAAGCTTGAGTCAGACTTGGGGGGCTGCTGCCTGGTAGGAGCAGAGGAATGCGTTTTGTGCGTGTATAGGAAGAGGAGGCTGGAGAGGGAGGTTGAGGCTAGGTGGCGAAAGGCCTTGGGTTCAAGGAGAGGAAGTAATGACAGCATCTTCTCACCCAGGAGGCCCTGAGCAGAGTGGCTCAGGCCATGCCCATTAACCATGTAGAAACCAAGATGGGGGAGCCTCAGGGGTGTGGGATGCCTATCATGGTGCCTCCTGATAAGGAACTCAAGGTGCAGACTGAGACGAATGGTGAAGGTGCTCTTGTGCTGTAGAATCAGCTCCAGTCCAGGCCCATGCTGCAGGATGAGAAGAGGCCAGTCCCAGCTGAGTCTCTTTGTCATGCCCTCCATCTTTAGGCTGATCTGGTGAGGGGTCACATGGATAACGAAAGGGTCCTGGAGTCTCCTCACAGCCAACATGATCCTGTCAAAGTAGGTGTGGGTCCGATGCTCATGACCTGGCTTCGGAGGTGCCCCTAGGAGGTGGCCACTGACCAGCAGCCCTGGAGTCAGGGGAGAGATGGGTATTCCCTCAGATGCTCACTGACCTCACAGGTTTGAAGCAATGATGCATGCCCAGTGATAGGAGAAGGACTGGGAGGGCTAGTCAGGCTGGAATCTAGGCTGAATACAGATCTAGGATGACCGGCTTGGCTGTGTGTGGCGAGAAGGAGTTCGTATGGGTCCAACTCTGGGGAGTTTGGGATGTCTCTCTCTCGGTATCTTTCAGGATTTAGAATCAGAGACTCAGAGAGTTAAGGGACGTCACAGACCATTGGGTCTCCTAACGTTCTAGGTAAGGCCAGTGTAGCCCCCAAGGGGCAGGGGAAAATAACATCTTGAGTTGGAAGGAACCTCAGAGAGCATGTAGTCTAATTCACTCATTGTATAGCTGAGGAAACGGGCCCAGAGAGGAGAAAGGACTTGTCTAGGTGTTGGCATTCCAATGTGCCTGTCACAAGTCCCAACCTCGGCCACACAATTTACATCCCCACCTAGGCCATGATGCTCCTCTGGTTTTTTTGGTATGCTTTTATTTATTTATTTTTTTGTCTCTGCAGATCTTTCTTGAGGTCTTTGTGAAGGTTTGGCTCTCTATGGATTTCTGGTCCCTGTAGCTCTATTGTTTTCTCTTTGTAAGTCTCACTGAATGGACTTTTCTGTCATCTCCCAGTCCTCACTCCACTCTGGGTCTCCCTGTGGCTCTGCTATTCTTGCTATGACCTTCTGGCTCTTTGGATTCTTATCTCAGTATTTCTGCATATTTCTTTGTGTAGATATGTTTATGCACAGTCCAATCTAATTTTGAATCTCATTTTGAAGACATTCTAAAAAGCTCTACGATTCTCTGAAGTTTCTGCCCCTTTCTGGACACTCTCTCACCATCACTGCAGAAGTGGCAGGGGTCACATGGCATCGATGGCTATTTTGTAATTCTCTTTCTTTAGTATGCTGTTATGGCCACAATAGTCATGGCCAGTTGGCCAGTGTACTGGTGATGATAGTAACCTTTAGATTTCATGAGAAATCTAAGAAATCCTCCAGCAACTTAATCCCTCCCCTTCCCCCTCCCCCCATCCCCACTATGAAATTATGGGAGGCTGTAGGCAAGAGTGACCCTGGAGGGGCCCTGATTTTCATTATTGGAGGGACCTCTCAAACTAATGCAGTCCCAGCACCACGGCAGTATTGTATTATCTTTATCTGTGGAGCATTTTGTATGTGAGTCTTTAGGGTCTTGAATTCTCTCCCTCCCCTGCATTTGCCCACCCTCCCAGCAAACTGGGACTGCTACAATCCATTCCTCAGTGATCGGGCTCTGTAGTCCTGCGCCCTGCCTACAGTGTATGCATAGAAGGGTATGTTTGTTATTTTGTTGGCCTTCTTGAACTGCGAGTGCTGGCCTTCCTCTGTGAATGTCAAGGAATTAAGATGGTGCCGACTTCTTTCTATGCAGGGCTATTGGTAAATTGAGGCCTTCTCTAATCAGAATGTTAGAAAACCTTGAATACTTCCCCCCCCCCAACATTAAAGTCTCAAGGAAAAGCTTTGGAGCAAAGACACTATTGTTCCCTCTTCCCAACTGCTCCTGGCAATGGAGAAAGATATTTAGAAGATGAAGAAAGTCCTTTAGGATACTTTTGTCTTCCATTTCCCTATTTCATACCTTAACCCTAAAATTCAGGGAAGAGTTCTCCCTGATTCTACAGTTGTGACAATGCTTAGCTCAACTTTTTTTTTTTTTTGTACCTGAGTTCCTAGAGACAGATTTCTGTACCTAATTAGAGATGAGGTAGTACAGTGAGAGAAGTGTTGGATCCGAGTCCTAGAACTTAAATAAATATCTTGACTCTGACACTACCTACTCGTAACCTGGAAGTCATTTCACCTCACTTTCCTCACTGTGCCTCAGTTTCCTCATCTGCAAAATGAAGGCAGTGGACTAAATGACCTCTGAGGTCATGTGGGTCAAAGATAGAGATGAGACCTTTTTTGTGGGCACAGATTTATTCCTCTCTCCTCCCCCCTCCAAGTTCTTTGATATAAACCCGGGAAGTGGGGGAAGATAATGGTATTAAAGTGGGAAGAATAAAAACACCTACCTCCTAGGGTTGGTGGTTGTTGGAAGGGTGCAATGACACCATCCACATAAAGCACTATAGAAATCTCTTTGTTTCTTCTAGGCTTCTGGGCCTTTGGAGTCTCAAGGTCTCACTGTTAGCCCCTGTCTTTCTGTCTCCCTGTCTCTCTGCATCTTCCCCCCTTTCTCTGGGTCCCTTACCTGCTTCAGGGTCTCTGATGAGCTGAAGTGTGTCCCCTGCCCTTCCATCCACCGTGAAACAGATTCTACTCTCCGAGTTTGGCAACTGGATCTCAAAATGTGGATCCCCATCCACTGCAAGGCACAAAGACACTGAGGAAGGAGTGCAGGGGAAGCCACTGGGGGCTTCTTTTACCTGCTGGGCCCCCAGTTCCAACAGATAGCAAACAAATGAGTTTCCATACCTGAAGAGGAGAAGGTAAAAACCGATGAAGATTTCTGAGGCTCACCTTGAATCCCTGGGAGTTTAAAGAAAGAGGGAAGAGGGTTGCTGGAGTCCCCAATTTGTCTCTTTGCAGGAGAATTTTGACTGCCCCCCCCAACCCCAACTTCTGCTGGGCCTTTGAGATTCTGTCATGTGCCAGCATTTCTTGCTTTCCTTGAAAGTCTGGGACCTCCCTAAAGACTGGGCCCTGCAAGGCTAGCTTGGTAAGTTACCTATGAATGAATTCTTAACTAGCTCAGAGAGAAGTCAAGGTAAGAAGCGCACCCCAACCATTCTTCCCCTGCTTCTAACTCCCTGCCCCAAGCCTTTTGCCCAAAGACTGGTTTTTCCAAATCCCAGAGACCCACGACCACAGACGACCATTCCAAGACCCCGAACTTAAGCAAGGTACCCAGAGACACATTGTTACAGAGATACAGAAACAGTAACTCAAAGGCCTGGCAACCCCACAGAAACACACAAGTAGCAGAGAAAGGCATCAAAAGTCAGCCACAGAGACATTATGATACCCACAGAGAGACTGGCAGGGGTGTGTGTGTGTGTGTGTGTGTGTGTGTGTGTGTACCCAGAGACCCATAATCACAGAGATGCTCAGAGAGACCCAGAGACCCATAGACATATAATTATGAAGAGACCCACAGGCATACAAACAAGAGAGGCATCCAGACAATGACATTTGACAACTCAAGACACATGCAGAGACATTCAAAGATCCAGAGACCCACAAGAGATATCCAGAGATATGAAGGGAGTCATTGAAAGACTCAGATTTCTACAGAAATATCTAGAGATACACAGAGACAATCATTCAGAGACTCTTAGAGAGATACACTGACATAGAGCTACTCTTGGGAAGTGACGTTCAAAGCCCCAGAGGTCCTACAAGCAAAGAGGGATTCTGAACCTTGAGAGACTTGGAAGAAGGTTCACGCTGGGGGGCAAGGGCAGACTCACCATGTCTGTTCCCTTGGCTGTGGCTACTGGGGAAGGTGTAGCTAGTTGGAGGCTTCAAGGACTCGGAGAACCCAGAATCTGGCAGAGTTTCCAGAAGTTGGCCTAGCTCCTTAGGGAGAACAAGGACACTGATGATCTCAGGTGTGCTCAAGTTATAGGGAGGTGGGGGGCTCAGGATAGAGAGAGAGGAGGAACTAGGTCTGGGGGAAGACTGGGAGTTAGGACCAGACTGGGCTGGAACACGAAGATTGGGGTACAATGGTACTCTAGTTTTGGGGAGTGGTGGGGAACCAAGTTGGGGGGCAGATGAGGGGCGAGGGTTCCATGCTTTCAAAATATCAGGACTTGCTGTGACATTTTGGGAAAACAGAGTGGAAGGTCTAGGGAGTGATGGGGAGCTCAGAACATGGGAAGCTAGCAGATCCCATTTGGGGGGAGTATGCTGGGATGGGACACTTGGGTTAGGTTGTGGCAGAACTTGAGCTTTAGGGAGAGATGAGGAATTGGGTTTGTGGGGATTGAATGTTAGATTTGGAGAACCTGGGGAGCCAGGTCTGGGGGGAAACTGGGAGCTAGACGTAGAGGGGGACAAGGTGTCAGATTTGGGGGAGTGTTGGGGTAAGATGTTTGGTTTGGGAGATGATGGGGCTTAAGTTCTGGGGAAAGAAAGATGATCCAGTTTGGGAGGAAATAGGGTGCTTGGTTTGGGGAAATAGGAAGAGTTAGAGTTTGGAGTGTTGACATTTGGATCTAGGTTTAGGGGGACCCAGAGAAACATGTTTTCGGAGAGATGACGATAATGAAATGTCAGGATTTAGGTGAACCAGGGAGTCAGTTCTGGGGAGAGATGGAGAAATAGCCCTGGGAGGAGATGGGGAGCTCAGTGGCCAATTAAGGGCTAACAAGATGTTAGGACTTGGGTGAATTTGGGTGCTGGGTTTAGGGGTGGCTAGGGAGCCAGATCTAGGGGGTGCCAGAATGCCAGGATTATACCAAGATGAACTGTTTGGTTTGGGATGTAATAGAGCTCCAGTTTGGGGGGAAGTCAGGAGTGATGGGGTGATGGAACTCAGATGAGTGATGGGGCCCACTCTGGGAGGAGACAAGGAGCCAGTCGTGGGGAATGAAGATGCTGTGGGTTTCACAGGCAATGCATCCCCATGAGCTGGGTGCACCCAGGGCACAGGTGGAGTTAGATTCTGTTTGATCACCCTGGGATTCCCCATTTTGGCTGCAGATGAAGGCCCAGATGAAGTGGTAGTGAATTTTGCCCCATGGAGCAGGGGCTCAGTGGGGCCAGTAAGGATAGGAGGCCTTGGGGACTTCCCGGTAGCTGTGGGCTGGTCTATGGCTGCCAGGGCTGGAGGTGGGCCCTGCTCCTTTTCGGCTTCCTCCTCTGGCTTCACCACAACCAGTGAGGTCAGGGGCGTCACAAAATGGAAATGCAGAGAGAGGTTGAGGGCCTTTTCCATCAGCAGGCTGTGGGTGGCTAAGTCATTGGCCCCAAGGCGAGTTTCCAGCAAGCCCTGGATGGTCAAGTAGGCCCAAAGGCGCTGGAGGAAGCCTTGGCCTGGGCTTAGCTCCCCGTGGGACAGGCAGCCAAATGCTGGCTCTGTGCCACTGGCAGCCTCCTCACTCCGAGATGCTGTGAGCAGGTGGTTGTGTGGGCCCCGGGCTTCCAAGTGCACCTGGAGCTCAGGCTCCCCCTGACCTAATTGGCCCACCACCACCAGCTCCAAGCCCTGAAAGTAGTTGGGGAAGTGGCTCCCTGCTGGTTTGGCCCTCCCAGCTTGCCTGGCCTGGTAGTGGAAGCGGATGTCAGATAGCAGAGGGGAGGCGACGCGGTCATAGAAGCCTTTGAGCTGCAGGGCAGCATCTTGGTCCTCTCAGATGCTGCAGACTGTGCCTCGGTTCTCGAGCGAGAGGCGGCATAGAAGGGGCACGTCGGCGTCGTCGCCTAAGGCTAGGCCAAAGAGGGCTGCCTGGCTAGCCAGGGCCCTCTGGGCATTGGCGAGCATGCGGGCAGGTGAGGTCATTCCTGCTGTGGGCTCCCCATCCGTGAGGAAGATGACCAGGCGAGCCTCTCCTGAGGGCCCTGCAATGCTCTGGTTCAGTATGGAGGCTGCTGCCAGGAGAGCTGCATTCATGTCTGTCCCTGGGGAAGGCAGAGGCCTGGCATGAGTAGCCAGCTCCCCACCCCCACCCCACCCCCTACCTCAGAGGCTACCCCTCCCCCCAGCTTGTCCATTGCCTCTGGAGTGGGCCACCCTTCCCTCCCAGTTCTAATGGCTCCTCCTGTAGTCCTTCAAGGACTGCTGTTCCACCTCCTTCCCTTAGCAAGGTCCCCATCTGTGTTATGGGCCTGCCAACGTTGTCTTTGCCTCACCCTTAGGCTCCTGGTCCGTCTCATTCTCTAGTCAGCTTATGGGACTGAGTCTCATCTCTCTGGACAGACCAAGTCTCTCAGTCTCTGGCTTTCTGATGGGTGTCATTCCTGGCACCCTAGTCAACTGGGATGAGATTGAGCTCTCTGCCATCTCTCATCCTCTTCTTTATGAGGCCAACACTCTTAGCTCACCAGATGGCTGTGAGGGATTGAGCCATCTTTATCCTGTCTTGTTCTCAAATTATTCTATTTTTGTGTTACAGAGGGGAAAAGTGAGGGCCAGAGAGAGCGGCAGAATGTCAGGATGAATGAAAAAGGGGATGGGGCCTTTGAAATCATCACAGGAGGACTTAGGGTCACAGCATGTCAGAGATGGGAGGGGCCTTGGAGATCACCTACTCTGACTCTGCCCCTCTCTGTAACCCCAGACCCTCCTCACCATCTGTTTATCGAGGGGAAGGGATTTAGGGTCATGGAGTGGGAGAGCGTGAATGCACATGAGACAGCCAACTGTCCCACTTCCTTACATTACAGAATAGGACAGTGAAGCCTGACAGTGAAAACATGAAGCTCAAATAAGGAAATTTTTGGGGCTACAAGCAGTCAGGGGTCTTCAGCAAATAGCACTGACTTTAGACATCTGGTGCTTGGCAATCTCTGGAGGGGGATGGCTGGGGTGGGAGGGATTGAAGTGGAGAACTCATATACGAACATCTGCCCACCTCCATTCTGCCAACGTAGGCCTTGGCCCTTTGTATGTTTGGGGGTGTGTCCTGAATGGAACCAGCAGCCTTCCAGATGTGGACAGTGTCAGAGAAGGTCACGATGTTGAAATAGTCCTCTGGGTACAGGTCCCCCAGGATCACAGGCATAGCCTTCTTAGTCTGCAGCAGTCAAGATATGGACAGAAAGCATGTTTAAGATCATGTTTCAGATCACTGTATCTGCCATACAGGCAGGTAGGTGCCGCTGCAGTGGTCAGAGAACCAGCCCTGGAGTCAGGAGGACCTGAGTTCAAATTTGGCCTCAGACACTGAATAACTGTGTGACCCTGGGCAAGTCACTTAACCCTGTTTGCCTCAGTTTCCTCATCTGTAAAGTGAGCTGGAGAAGGAAATGGCAAACCACTCCAGTATCTCTGCCAAGAAAACCCCAAATGGGGTCACGAAGAGTCGGACACGACTGAAACTACTCAATAACAACCACAACCGTCTGCCATCCAGTCTTTTTCTCCCCCCCACCTGCCTCCCCTTTATGCTGGCTTCTTTCAGGCAGCTCTCCCTGATTACCCTTAGGCCATCATGTTCTCTTCTTCCTTACTGACTCACGTTTAGAACACTAAGAGCCATCTTCCAATTGAGAAATGCTCAAAGGATATGAACTGACAATTTTCAAAGCAAGAAATTTAAACTAGCAATGACCATATGAAAAAATGTTCCAAATCACTAATAATTAAAGAAATGCAAATTAAAGCAACATTGAGGTTCCCTCTTACATTCATCACATGGGAAAAGTTGGTTAAAAAAGGAAAACGTCAAATGCTGGAGGGACCGGGGGAAAACAGGTATACTTGTGCCCTATTGGCATAACTGTGAATCAGTTCAGCTGTTCTGGAAAACAATTTGGAACTCTGACCCAAAAGTTATTGCACCATGCATACCCTGTGACCCATCGATGCCACTACCAGGCCCAGACCCCAAAAAGATCAAGGAAAGAGGAAAAAGGAGCCGTAAGAACAAAAATATTTATAGCCACTCTTTTTGCAGTAGCAAGAAACTGGAAAGCAAGGGGTGCCTACCTATTGGAGAACGGCTGAGCATATTACGGTATGTGGATATAATGGAATATTATTGCATCATAAGGAATGACAAAATAGATGGTTTCAGAGGAAACTGGGCAGACCTCTATGAAGGGATGGCAGAGTGAGGAGAGCAGAGCTGAGAGAACGATTTATAGACTGACAATATTATGGAGGAAAATGACTTTGAAAGACTTTTGAGCCCTGAGTCTAGAGGAGAAGTTTCAAACTCTTAGATCAGAGCCTGCAAGTGGCCTGCAAGGTGATGGACTCAAAATGAAGGATGAGAAGTGCATGCATACACACATATGTACACATACATGTGTACATACACACATGAGTACATACATGCATACATTTTGGGACATGGTCAACATAGGACTTTGTTTTGTTTGACCATGCAAACTTGTTATGAGGGTTTAATTTGATTGTATTTTAATTGTTCAGTTAGGATGCAGTGGGAGATAAGAGATAAGAAATGCTTGTATAACTACTTACCTATCTAATAGATCGCCCCCTCCTCTGAGTTCTTGTGGAGCTCAACACTCCAATAACAATCATACTAACAACGAGCATTTACGTAGCATTTTAAAGTTAGCAAAATGCTTTACAAACATCCTGTTGTTTGATCCTCACAATAACTCTGGGAGGTAAATGCTCTTATTATCCCTGCCTTACCACCACCACCCCCCCACCCCGCTGCCCTGTCAAGTGTCTGGTCTGAGATCAGATTTGAACTCAGGTCCTCCTGACTCCAGGGCCAGTGCTCTATTCACTGTGCCACCTAGCTGCCCCATCCCTGTCTTACAGACAAGGGAACAGAGGTAGTCAGAAGTTAAATGACTTGGCCAATGTCATCCAGCTAGTAAGTACTTCAGGTAGAACTTGAACTCAGGTCTTTTGGATTTTGGCTCAGAACTTTATCCACTGTGGCACCCCCTAGTTGTGACACACTGTATTCCAATTATCCTTCCTCTTTTGGGTCTTATGGATCAAGACTAGATGCAAGTTATCCTGTGGACACATAGTAATCTTGTAGTCCACTAACCCTAACTCTAACCCTAACCCTAATCCCAGACCAGGGGTGGTGAACCTGTGGCTTCGAGGTCACACATGGCCCTCTTCTAGATCCTCAAGTGCGGCCCTCTAACTGAATCCAAACTTCACAGAACAAATATCTTTCCTTGAGCAATTCAATTTGAAACCCAACTATAGTATTTTAAGTTGATTCCTAGCTCCCAGCCTTGGATTCCTTCCCTGTCCAATGAGGGGGTTGGGCCTGAGGGCCTCTAAAGCTCCTTCTAGGCCTAGGTCCAGGACCCTCAGAATCACTGAACCTCACAATCTTTATTGAACCCCCAGATCTTTTGCAGGTGAAGAGAGAAGTGACCATGTCTCCTCCACTTTGTACCTGGGAAATTGGTTTTTTAATCCAAAGTATATGACATTTATCTATTAAGTTTCATCTTATAGTCAGCTCTCTGTTCTAGCCTTCCAAAATCTTTTGGGCTGTGACTCAGTCAGCCAACAAACATTAAATGCGTGCTGTGTGCCAGGCATTTTGCTCTTTCAGCTTTGTGCACACACACATGTTTGTGTATGTGTGTGGCATGTGTATGTGGGTGTGTAGCGTATAGTGTGCATTTGCACATGTGTGTTTGTGTGTGGACCCATGTACACGTGTATTTATTGTATGTAGTATGTGGTGTATGTATTTAAGTGAATGTGTTTGTATATTTGTGTGTGGTATGGATGCATATATGTGTGTTTGTGTGTGGTGGGTGTATGTGTGTGTTTTACCAGACCTGAGATTTCATAAGTCTAGGGAAGTGATTCTCTAAGTGTGGTCTCCGGTCTTGATTCTGTGAGGTCCAAAGGATTTTGAGAATGCTCCTAAAACATTTAAATTCTGAATGTGGTAAATACTGATAACTATAACCCTCAGAAACAAAAACGAGTGGGGGGAGGCTTTAATATTTTGTACGAGCACAAAGGGGCTCTAAGACCCCCAAATTTGAGGATCACTGGTCCAGTGTGCAGTCTTCTTCTATCACTTCTCTACAACATAGTCCTACAGAGTTTCCTTGCACTGAGAGATCAAGTGAGTTGGCCAGGGTCATAGAGCCCACTGGCGTCTGATTTGGGACCCAGATCAGAGTCTTCTTTGATTCCCAGGCCAGTTCACTGGCCACTCTACCAGGTTGCCTCTTTAGTAACTCTGTAGAAATAGGAAATGAGGTAGTCTGGCATGATGTGTTCTTTATAAAGACTCTTAGTAACCCTTGCTTCCCCTTCTAGATGCCCATTAGCTGGCCCCTAAATAATGTGTTTTGCATTTTTGCTAGGAATCCAAGTCAAGCTCTTTAGCCAATAGGTCAAAGATTTTGTTTTCTTTCCTGTTTTGAAAATCAATTCAACACCTCTTCCAATCTCCACAGATGGAGAATGAATGGCTCAGCCAGTTCTTTCAGTACCTTGAACAGCGATTCATCCGTGTTTCGGGACTTGAACTCTTCAAAGGGCAACTAGGTTGGCCATCTCACTCTGTGCCTACTTATCTTGATCTTAATCTCACTGGGAAGGGGGGGGTGGGGAAGAGTGCTTTGTGGCTCTATCCGGTCTGGTTCAAAGATTACTCTTCTGGCAGAAAAGAAAGAGAAGCAAAATAACACTTGAATAATTCTGCCTTTGGGGCAGATGTAGTTCAACTCACATAGCTCCTCAGAGGCTGAAGGCCCATTTGGGGTGGAGCTGCCTGGACAGGCAAGGGTTGCATTCCATTACTTTGAGAGGGGACTTCTAACTGGAATTCCGTCTGTGCTCCTCTGACTCACACTCTAGAATCCAGGACTGGAATTCTGGGAGATTTGTCTAATAGTCCCCCCAGGCAATTGTTACCTGCTTCAGTTTTGTTCCAGTCATAGAGCCACTAACATCGATAACGAAGATGATGTTTTTCTGCATACGAGGTAGGCCTCTGGGGGCAAAATAGTGAACAAAATAGCCATCGTAGATCTGGGGAGAGAGAGAAAGAGATAGAGAGAGACACACACAATGTTAGAGAGACAGAGACAGATAGAGACAGAGACACATGAAGATAGAGAGATAAAGACAAAAACAGAAACAGAGAAATACAGAAACAGAGAGAGAGAGAAGGATACACAGACATGCACACAGAGAGATAGGGAGAGGGAAAAGTAGAGGGGAGAGAGACAAAGACAGAGAGAGACAGAGAGAAGAGAGACAGAGAGAGAGGAGAGAGAGAGAGAGAGAGAGAGAGAGAGAGAGAGAGAGAGAGATGTCAACAGAGAGCAGCAGAAGAAATCACAGCAGTTCTAAGGTTTGCCCTTGGGACACCACATCATGACAGCAGACCAGTGGCAGCAGAAATGAATGACAGCAGCTGGGGGCTGGGAGCCAATGGGGAGAGGCCAGGAGACGGAGAAGCCTGGAAGAGCATCACGATTTTGCTTGTCCCACCCTCAATGCTTTTAAGAAGTCCTTACTAGGAGACTAAGAACCTGGCTGTAAGGTCAGCAGATGAAATAATGTATGGTGTGAGAGCCAGGTTCAAGGTTAGGGGTGATGATGCTCTCAAGACTAAACGTGGATGGTAAATATAAGGCAGGCTCCCTTCAGTGCATTCCTGACTGAAGGCCCAGATCACCTGCACATCACCAATGACGTCCTTCATAGTCACATCATATTGAATCACAAAGTCCCCCATGATGCCCTGGCTGGAGTAGGCAGCCTGTTCACTTGGTGTTGGTGTGAAGGTGACCCATGCGCAGGTCTCCTTCTTTTCAATCCTGGTGGACGTTGGCAAGTCAGTCTCACCTGTATGGGATGATTAATGATGAGAAGAAAGGAGCCACTCAGCCCAGGCCCAGAGGTCTAAGTGAGGAAGGGGTGGAATGGGGATGAATTCATCCATTTCCTCCTCTCCAGATCCTCATTTGACCTTTGGCTTTGGCTATTGCTCCTGCTGCTGACCCCTCCTCATCCCAGTTGTCCACTATCCCTCTCTGAATCTGAGCTCTTGACTATACAGTGGCCCATCTGGTTCTCTGACCATTTCATGAGATGTGGGAGGGTGAATCTCATCTCTCCCACCCCTTCCCATAGGACTGAGAATTCTCAGAAGTTAGGGCTTTGCCCTATGTAGATTTTTCTTTTTCTGCTTTCCCGATTTCTCCTTCTTCCCTCACCTCCATCCCTTGCTCAACCCAACAACTGTGCCTCAAGGACCAACAGAGTAAAGTCCTCTTTGAGTTCTATCCCCAGAAAAAAATGCAGTTCATTTCTTTCTGTGGGCAAATTTGGTCAATTTTTGGCTTGATAGAAGATGAACACTTATCCTAATGTTATCCTGGTCCCAGTGTCCAAGAAGCGCAGAGCCAAAGTCAATTCACAGCCATAGCAATCAGCTCAGGCCAGGTGACTGATAACATTTCTCTCCTCCTAATCCATCCCCTGTCCCAGGTCTCTTCCCTCTCCTATCCATGCCACTGCCCTGCTCCAAACTTTTCGTGGCTCTACAGGCTGGTGCCCCCTCCACTCCAGCCTCACCCCTTTCCAGCTTGTATAAACCCCACCTTCCAGTCAAATTGTACTCCTAACCGGCCAGGTCCTATACTTCATATTCTATCTTTGTCTCCATGATTTTGCCTAGTAAGGTGACACAGTGGATAGAGCACTAGGCTCGGAGACAGGAAGACTCGAGTTCAAATCTGGCCTCAGGCACTTCCTAGCTGTGTGATCCTGGGCAAATCACTGGGCAAACCTCTGTTTGCCTCAGTTTCCTCAATGGGGATCATAACAGCCCCTACCTCCCAGGGTTTTTTTTTATGATCACATGAGATAATAATTGTAAAGCACTTGACACATAGTAAGCCCTTTATAAATGTTAGTTATTATTATTGTTATTATTAGTTGTGGTAGTAGTGGTAGTAGTGGTAGTGTAGTAGTAATAGTAGTAGTATCAGTATTTGCACAAGCCATTCCCCTTGCCTGGAATTCACTTCTTCTGCTTTTCTGCCTCTCAATCAATTAGAAAACCAAACCAAACTGGAAACAGTGTCTGTCCTCAAGGAGCTAACCCCAAGCTTAGCATGGAGGCAAAAGCACAGATATAGAGCTACACAGAAGAGACACAAGCAAATTCTAGAAGTGGAATTAGGGTTAGAAAGTGATGAAGAAAGAACCATGCCTTGGTCACACTTTGAAGTCGAATGTACATCCTTGTCATTCTCTCCATCATTTTCTTAGGAAAGCACATTTGACACAAGATTAATCAAGCTCCAGCTGAAGGTGCCAGTGCTCATGCTGAATATTTAATAACCAGCTCTTGTAAGATGGCTTGAGCTGGCTCAGACCCAAAGGTCATGTTGGAGCCACTAGTAGCCAGAGGCATCAGGAATTAGGGTTCATGTAGAAGGTGGAGTTCAGACTGAGTCTTGAAGAAATCTAGGGATTCTAAGAGGTGGAAGAGAGGAGGGACAGCAGCAGTCTAGGTGTGGGGAACAGCCTTGCAAAAGTTTGGAGTTGGGAGATGGGATGTTGTGTGAAAAACAGCAAATTGGGCAGCATTACTGGACTGTAGCATGTGTGAAGGGAAGCAATGTGTAATTAAGCTGGTAATAGAAAAAAAGCTAGGTGGTGAAGGGCTTTAAATGCCAAATGAAGAGGGATTATAGGTAGATGGCCACATGCCATAATGTAGCAAATACCCCATTGAGGTTTCGAATTGCACCAGTCTAAATAGAAAAAAGAATAACCTATAGATTCTTCTTCCACCCAACCCTGAGCTAGACAAGCCAGGGTGGGTAGAAAGGGGAGCGCGAGGCAGTGGTGGTTCCAGCAGGGAGTCCTCAAGGTGGGGGGCAGCCCACTGATGGGAGAAGGGTTCTAGGCCAAGGTCTTTGCCTGTGGTAGGAGGCTAGCATACTCTCTAGAGGACCTGTGGCAAGAGCCCCCATGCAGAGCCCACAGAGGAGCAGTCCTGAAGTTCTTTGAAGAAGGGGCCTTATCTTGCCCACCATGCTCAGGACTAGGCAGTCTACCCCAAGCACAGGTCCCTCAACTTAGATACTGAGGCCAATGAAATGAACAATCCACGGAAAAACATGACCGAAAATCTTGGTTTGAGAGATTTCCAGAGGGGCCTCTAAACATAAGTAAATCCTGAAGAGAATAGTGACCCCCCCCCAACAAATCTGGGGAAAGATTTGAAAGATCCCTGGATAAAGAAATGAAACAAGAGGTGCAAAGTGGAATAGTTAGGGAGAAAATGATGGCAAGTAGAACAGATGCCTTATTACAGACAGTGGAAAATCTCACACAAGAGCTACAGGTCCTGAAAATTAGAATGGGTCAGGCAGAAACCAAGACTTCAATGGGACAAGAGGGAATACTAAAATAAAACCAAAAGATTGGAAAAACATAAGAAAAATGACCTGCAAAACAGGTCAAGGAGATACTATCTAAGAATTATCAGACTATCTGAAAATCATGACCAAAAACCAAAACAAAATCTGAATACCATATGTCAAGAAATTGTAGAATAAAATTGTTCAAAACTCTTAGGACAAGAAGGCAAAATAAAAATAAAAAGAACTCGCCAGTGAGCTCTCGAAAGAAATCTCCCAAATTAAAACTCTTAGGAACATCACAGACAAAATCCAGAATTTCCAGGTCAGAGAAGCAGCCAAAAAAGAAAGAGTTCAAGCACCAAGGGATTACAGTAATGATTATTCAAGATTTAGCAGCTTCCACTATGAGGAAAAGATAGAGAGAACAATATTCCCAAAGAGAAAAGATAAAGGTTCACAACCAAAAATAACCTCACCAGCAAAACTAAGTAGAATCATAAAGAGAAAAAAAAAGCTATTTAATGGAATATAGGATTTCCAGGCATTCCTGATGAAAAGGCCAAAAATGAGTAGATGTTTTGAAATGGAAATGCAGGGGCCATGAGAAAGATAGAAAGGCACATATATTTGTTTAATTATAAGGGCATATGTGAGTATGGAGGCAGCTAGCTACAGTGGAGAGATCACTGGGCCTGGAATCAGGAAGACTCATCTTCCTGAGTGCTAATCTGGCCTCAGACACTTACTAGCTGTGTGACCCTGGGCAAGTCACTTAACCCTGCTTGCCTCAGTTCCTCACCTGTAAAATGAACTGGAGAAGAAAATGGCAAACTACTCCAGTGTCTTTGCCAAGAAAACCCCAAAAGGTCACAAAGAGTCAGACATGACTAAAATGACTCAACAATAACAAAAATGTGAATATGAATTGTTTATGTGCTAATGGGGGATAAGAAACAGAAGACATACCTGGAAGGGTCCTAGAGAAAGGTACATAGAGCAGGGGACCTGCAGGTTCTTTTCTTCTGCTTTGATAGTCTTAGGAGAAGATAAAAAAGAGAGTAACAAGGGACAATCCTGGGGGAAAAAAGGTGGAAAAAAGGGAGGGAAATCGCCATTATAAGAGAGATGCATAAGATAAATCACATATATCCATGGAGGAAGCAGTAGGGGGAACGGGCATCCCATGAGTATCACCTTCATCTGAACCAGACCAGTTTGGAACACTGAACACTAATACCCTCCCCCTTTCCCTACACACAGAGATTTCGGTATAGAAACACATCAAGCTTAAAAGGGAAGTAGGAGTGGACAGGTTCAAGGGAGGGGGAAAGATGGACCTAAGAGGAAGGTGAGGTAAAGTAAAGTAGGAAAGGCAGGAGAATCATCATAAGCAAAAGAAACTCAAATGAACCCTAACCCTAATCCTAACCCTAATTGTGAATCAAGAGTTAAAAAGAAAGGAAGAATGAGTAAAGACCTAGCATTAGGGCAAGGAGAAGAGAAGAGCTGCAACTGAGTGGAAATAGGCCACTTCACTTACAGATCACACAAGTCAGGCAAACTCCCTCTCTATTACCACCTTCTAATGTTTTATAAACAAGGGAGTGGAAGCAAAGAGAGGAAAGAGTGCAAAAGGACAGGAGGGAGAGAAATACACATTTAATAGTCATAACTAAACTTGAATGGGATGGGCTTACCCATAAAACAGAAGAGGATCACAGGATGGATAATAGAATCTGACAATATGTTGTTTATGGGAAACACAAAGATTCACATAGAATTAAAACCAGTTCATGCTTCAGCTGAACTATTAAAAAACCAGGGTAAACAAACATGATTTCAGATAAGCTTACAATAAATATAGACACGATAAAAAGAAATACATTGACGTTACGCTTAATGACATTATGCTTAAAGGTACCATAGAAAATGAATTAATAACAATATTTAATACATAAGCACCAAATAGCATAGTATCTAAATATTTAAAGGAAGAGTTAATTGAATTGGAGGGAGAAATGGATAGTAAAATTATAATGGAGAGGGAACCGTTACCCCTTTCGGACCTAGACAGATCTAACCAAAAAATAAACAAGAAGTCAAGGACCTGAATAGAACTTCAGAAAAATTAGAGATGATAGATCTCTGGCAATTACTGATTAGGAATTGTTGTTGTTCAGCCATTCATTTGTGTCCAACTCTTTGTGACCCCATGGACCATCGCATGTCAATACTGTCTATGGAGTTTTCTTGGCAAGGATACGGGAGTGATTTGCCTTTGCCTTCTCCAGTGGATTGAGGCAAACAGACTTTAAGTGACCTGCCCAGGGTCACACAGCTAGTAAATGTTTGAGGTCACATTTGAACTCCTAACTCTAAGCCCAGCATTCTAGCCACTGAGCCATCTAGCTGCCTCAGAATAGAAACAGGAATTTCTATTTCTCTTAACTGCCCATGGCAGCTTTATAGAAATTGGTCATGTACTGGGGTATAAAGAGCTCTTTATAAAGTAGAAATGCTAAGTACATAATTTAATGACCACAATGCAATAACATTAATTCAATAAAGGGCTTTTAAAGAGTGAACTGAAAAGTAATTGGAGACTAAATAGCACATTTCTACAGAACTGGTGGGTCAAAGAGCAAATTATAGAAACAATAGAAAATTTCATCAGAGAAAGTGACAGCAATGTGATGACATGCCAAAATTTATGGGATCCCGATAACAGTTCTCAGGGAAAACTTCATATCTCTAAACAATTTCATCAACAAATGAGAGAGAACAAATCAGTGAATTGGGCACACAATTAAAAAAACTGGAACAACAACAAATAAAAAATTCCCACATAAGAAACAAAAAAGAAATTCTGAAAATTAAAGAGAGTGATAAAATAGAAGCAAAATGACCTTTGAACTGATCAATAAAAGTAGCAGCTGTTTTTTAAAAAAAACTAATACAAAAAGACAGCCAACTAACCTGACTAAAAAGGAGAGGAAAACCAGATTGTATGAAAGATGAAAAAGTAGAATCCACAGCAATTGAAGAGGAAATTATCAGAAACTATTCTGGTCACTTTCATTTGAACAAAACTGACAACTTAGAAGAAATAAATGAACACTTACAAAAAATGTAGAATTCTACATTAACAAAAAGAAGAAATAGACTATTCAAGTAATCCGATATCAGAAAAAGAAATTGAGTAAGCCATAAGTGAACTACTAAAGATAAAAACTTTGGGACCAGATATATTTGTAAGTGAATTCTAACAGACATTCAAAGAACAACTAATTCCATTAATACAAAAACTATTTGAAATAACAAGTAAAGAAGGCACCCTTGCACTTCTTCTCTATGATACAAATACGGTCTTGATACTTAAACCAGCGAGAAATAGGGCCAAGAAAGAGGACTATTGTCTAATATCTCTAATAAACCTCGATGCAAACATTATAAATAAAATATTAGTAGGTGGGCTACAATAATGGATTTGGAAAATTATGCACTCTGACCAGGTTGAATTTACACCAGGAATGCAGGGTTGGTTCAACATAAGGAAGGAAGAAGTGAGGAATGGGTGGAAAGGAAAGAAACAAGCATTTATATGGCATGTGCTATGTGCCAGTCACTGTGCTGTGATAGTATAAGAAATATGATCTCATTTGATCCTCACAACAAATAAAGAAAATTATTAATAGAATAAACCATGTTAATAATTTAAATAATTAAGCCACATAATAACACTAATAGATGCTAAAAAAAGTTTTTGACAAAATCTAATACCTGCTTCTGTTAAAAACACTAGAAACATAAGAATAAATGGACCTTTCCTTAAGGTTGTAAATAATATCTGTCTAAACACAAGAGTAAACATTACACATAATGAGGGTATTAGAACAGCTTGTGGTGAATTGTGGGAACTGAATGGACCACACTGACTCCATCTAGTGACTCCATTCTGGATCCAGCTCAGTTCCCTTTCTGTTCATTACGGGTCTAGTCCAGCTTCTGTCTTGTGAGAAAACTTTATTCACTTGTGGGAATCGGGAGAAAACCTTATTGCGTTGTTTGAACCTGGCCCTGCCTGGCTGGGAAGCTGGACCACCCCTAGCTGCTGCTTAGAGACCTTTAACCAAGAACCTTGGTTACACTGACCAGAACCCCAGTCAGATCCAAAGATTGATGCAAAGGGTTTTCTCACAATTAGACATCTCAAGTAACCTCTGTCTTATCTGAAAATTGGCTCAGTATTGATCAATCAGTTATTATTTCCATGTTTCCTTGATTGTTTATAGATACTTTGTGTGGATCCAGGGAGGAGTGGAAGCCAGTGATCCTATTGGCTGGTGCTGCTTAACTCCCTTTCCCCTTCTAGCCTCACAATGGGGGGCTTCAAGGCCTCCTAAACTTTCCTGCCTCCAGCCCCACCAGTCCCTCCACCTCAGCTGATCTCTCAATATGCCTGGATTCTAGAATCGCTTTACTTCCTTTTGCTTTTCTCTGCAACCCCAAACATTTCAGTGTCCAAGGAAGAGCAGAACAAGAGGACTGAATAGGGAAACTGGGAGCCTCAACTCATTCTCACCATCATTCAGGTCTCAAACTTAAAACGTGCCAACGGGCTTTCGTAGACCCCCCACTATCTGCCCGTTCCTCAGATGACCACCAGGGGCTGTCTAGATCCCTGGCCTCTGCCTGCCTGTAGATATGCCCCTGCCAGGCCCAACCCTGCCCCCCAGTACTACTTAGTTTCCTCTTCCATCTCAAACTTACTGGTACTTCAGGGCCCACTTACAAAATGCTCTCCTGACTGACCATAGTAACCTCCCTCCTGTCCTCTTCAGATGACCACTAGGGTCACTTGGGTTTTCTTGCCTGCCCAACCTTGTGTCTCTGCCTTTTTCCCACTTTGCTGCTGAACCTCTAGGCCTACCCTTTGGGCTCAGGGGTTGGTGGTTAAGGCCTGCCTAGCACATACCTCTAACAGCATTGGTCAGCAGCTGGCTGGTTCTGAGGGGCAGCACGTGGATGTAGTCAATGCCTGTCCTCTCTGATACAGTCACTTCCACACTGAGATTTGGTACCACTTGGCCGGGTCTGACACTCACAGTGTGCTGGTGTTTTCCCAGGAGGCGAGGGAGCAATTCTTCATAGGTCAAGGCAAATGTTACCTCTCCACTTACAGCTACACTTGTGGAAATTTTGAACTTCTTGACCTCATCGTCTCTGGGGATGGAGGGATGATGGGAAGGTGACAGGAGAAATAGTCATTATCATTATGCGCCCCTTTCGTTCCCTTGTTTGTTCACTCCATTCATTCAGCCCTTTAGAATTTATTCATTTTCCTCATTCAGTCTCATGAATTCGGGCACTCTCAGCTGGTTTGCTCATTTTACTCTCCAGGTCACTTACCAACTCGTGTGTGCAATCATGCATGTATATAGTTAGTCAGCCATTCCCTTGGTCATTCATATTCTTTAACAACAACTGCCATGGTCAGAGTGCTTTTTCCTTCATTGTAAATATTCTAAATCCTGTGCCCAAGCCAGCTGTGGCACCCGACCCTCCTGTGCCTACTTGTGTTCTGGAGGGGCCAGGAGACACCCTCCCCTGGGCCCCCTCCCCACTTGTAGATAGAACTTCAGAATTAGGAAAATAGGAAGCTGTTGATTCTCTAACCTTTCACTGAGGAAGCAGGAACATCTATGGCTCTCTCTCCCCCACTTTGTATTTGCCTACAGACATTTAAGGAGGGAGGGCAAGGATCCTCCATTTTAGAGGGCCAATGGGAGCAGGGAAGTGAAGGAGCTGATAGGGACCCGTTATTGCCAGGGTCGTGCAAGTCAATGAAGTTTGCAAGCCAAATGAGGGCCACATGGACTTTGGTGAAGCCAGGACTACTCTAAGACACTTCAGACTACTACAGATTTGGAAAGATGGATTTGGAGAGCCTTACTGGCTGGCCACATGGGCAGCGGTCTGCCCTTGTTTCCTTGCTTCCTCGTACATTTTCTTAGCCTGGTGTTTCTCTTTGACTTCAGCTGTGTAGACTTTGCCATTGATGTTCCTGATGGGGAAAGAGGGAGTCGAGGAATTACTCGTAAAAAATTACTAAATGAATTAATAAATGAAATTACTAGGCTTCACAGGATCTCTGAGCTGGAAGAGTAACCAGCTGAGGTTCAGAAAAGGTAGAGGAGTCTCCTAAAAGCACACAGTGAGCCACTGGCCAAAGTTAGCCTCACTGGCCTCTTTTATTTACTTATTTATTTTTTGGGAGGCAATCAGGGTTACACAGCTAGCAAGTATCTGAGGTCAGATTTGAACTCAGGTCCTCCTGATGCCAGGGCTGGTGCTCTACCCATTGAGCCACCTAGCTGCCCCTCACTGGTTTCTTTTAACCAAATCACACCAAGTTCTTCCCTGAGGCCTCACTAATCCTATTTTTTCTACTCCAACCAACTGTGCTATTTTACTGATGAGTAAACAGGGTCAGAGAGCTGACTTTCCCGAGATCACACAGAAATTTCTGTGGAAGTAATACTTCAACTAGATGACCCCTGAGGGACTTTCCAATTGTGCTATTCGATGACTCTTACCTTCTTTTTATCCTCTTAATTATCCTGTCCTTCCCCCTACTCCAGGACCTTTCAAGGCTCCATATTGTCTATAGGATAAAGTTTAGACTCCTCTTCCCTTCCCTTACCACCCCCCCCAATTCTTGTCCATAGACCGATTACCTCCTCCAAACCAAATCTATCCTTCAAGGCTCAGCCCAAACCCCACCTTCTTTGGGAATGCTTACCTTGAACAGATCTTCCCCTCAACCCATACTAATTCATTCATCTAATAAACACACCTACTGTGCGCAGAGTACTATGGGACATGGTCCAGGAGATAGAAAGTCTGCACCATCCCCTCCCCCTCCAACTTTGCCTTCTTGGTACCTGTGTGCTAACTGCCACTCAAGCGTGTAGTAAGGGATGAGACAGCAAGCAGCAACCAATGCTTGCAACTTAGGGCAAGAGGCAGCCAGGGCTGACGTGGGAGAAAGGAAACTGGTCCGAAGCCTGCTTCTGTGTGACTATGGGAAAGTCCCTTACCTTTTCTGAGAGCATGCATTCTCTCGTCAGAGGTAGCTAGGGGTGGGACCACAGGGCACAGAGCCCTGGGCTTGGAGTCAGGAAGACCTGATTCCAAATTTAGAATAAAAAATAGCACCTACCTTGCAGAGTCGAAGTGAGGATGAAATGAAATCCTATTTGTAAAAGGGCTCAGCCCAGCGCCTGGAGCATAGTAGGTGCTTTAAAAAAGTTTATTCTCTCCCCTCCTCCCATCTAGAAATGGTAAGAAAATCCTTCTAACTCATAGGTATAAATGAAGAAAGGGTTTTGGAAATCTTAAAGCACTGTATAAACAGAATCGGTACCCCTCAGTATCTTTCTCTGTTTATTTTATCTCCTCTCTAAACTCTGGCCAGGGCAGTAACATTAGAGATGCAGAGAAAGCCAACATCAGCTCATAAAATGGGTAAATTAGTCTTTTTGGAACTCAGACAAGTCCTTGGAGCCTTTCCAGGCCAGGGGAAGGAACAACCAGTGGTACAGTGCCTGGCACATAGTAGGCACCTAATAAATGTTTATCCATTGACTCTCTCTCCCTCTCCCTCCTCCATCTTTCTCTGCCTTTTCTCTTCTCTCTGTCTCTTTCTCTCTTTCTTCTCTCTCTCTCTCTATGCCTCCCTCTCCCCCATCCCCTCCTCTCTGTCTCTTTCTTTCTGTCTATCAGTCTCTTTTCTCCCCCAATGGACTATATCACCATGGGGAATAAAATAAACTTTTGGTACCCTTTTCCCAGTGCTCCAGAACAGGCCTCTCTCTGTTGCTGGCCCTGGAAATGGGTGGCTGCGTCTGTAGGGAAGAGAAGGCAGGTCTCTGTCCTCCAAACAGAGAGTACTCTGTGCACCAGATTTAACGGCACAGAAGGCTCTTGCTGACAGAAGACCTCCCCGTAATGGGGGCAGTCTTCTGCTCCCTCCAAAAGGGAGAGACTAAATTGGATTTATTTTAAAATCTAATGTATGTATTTCACTGAACAGAACAGTGACATTCCCCTTAGCATTTGAGGCCTTCTTATAACATAGCCCATCCTTTCTGTTAACAGTGTTCCTCCTCCCTTCCTCCGCTGCTTCCTTCACTCCATCCAGGCCAGTCACAGGCTCCCAAGATTTAGAGCAAGGAGTGGCTGTAGAGATGATCTCATCTAATCCAACTGGCTCATTTCACTCATAAGGGTAAGGTGGAGAGTGTGGGGCTAAGGCCCCTAGAGGGATGGTGATGTAGGGTCCTGGGCTGGCAGGGCTGAGAACACCTTGGGGACCCTATAGTCCTACCCCTCATTTTAGAGATCAGGAAATTGAGCTCAAGATGGGAAGGGACTTATCGGAAAGGACTTTGGAAGATATGGGAACTCCCTCTAGAGAATATGTTCAGGCCCTTCTTGAAAATCTTGAGGCACTGTGCCACCTGGCAAAATGGATAGAGCACTTGACCTGGAGTCAGAGAGGTCTGAGTTTGAATCCAGCCTCAGATACTTCCTAGCTGTGTGACCCTGGGCAAATCATTTCATCTCTCTCAGTCTCAGTTTCCTCAACTGTAAAATGGGGGTCATAATAGTACCTACTTCCCAGGGCAGAGAGATTACAAATGTAAAGCACTTGTAAGCATTAAAGTGTGATAGAAATTCCAGCTATTATTATTACCTGAAGTGATAGGAAGCTCGATACTTTTGAAGGCACCTCATTTGTTTTTTGCACAGCTCAATGAAGAAGTGATTGCTTCTAGTTATCTCCCTTTTCACTTCTCCCTGTTGGTCCTAATTCTTCCCTCTGGCCAATTTTTCTAGATCGGTTATTTAAAGACAGCTATCTTCTCTTTTCTCTGGTAAAGCTCTGTGGTTCCTCCAACCCATGTTGTTGTTGATGACGACGGTAATAATAATAGCCTCGCTATTGCACTTTTGCTATACAGAGCGCTGTACGGAGATGATTTCATAATAATCAAATAATATCGTCACAACAACCCTAGGAGGTAGGTGCTATTACGATCCCCATTTCACCCATCGGGAGATATGTGCTGAATTGAATTTATTCTTTTCAGTTCACTGCCCATCCTTGTTGCCCGAGCTTGTCAATCCCCCTCCTAAAATTTGGTGTCCAAAGCTGTCCTCCCTCTTTCCAGGCCTCCACAGCCCCTATGGAGGCTTTGAGCCTCCCCTCCCCCCAGACGCTCACACGGTGAAGTTGGAAATGAAGGCCAGGCCGGGCAGATCCAAGTCAAAGATGGCTTCCTGGGCCTCCGAGTGTGGGTTGGTCATGACAGACACAACCTGGGTGTGGGCATAGCGGGACACAATGGTTGAGCGGATGGAGAAGCAGTTCACTGGAAGCTAGAGCCAGAAGCAGAAGCTTTAGAGGTTGGCTTGGAGTTATTCCATCATCCTGGATGTGGACCCAAGGAATGGGTTCACAGGTCCCAAGGAGTCAAAGAATCTGCGGCTGGGCTCCCAGACACCCTCTAGACTCCTCTTCAACTCTCTGGTCAAGGCAAATGTTACCTCTCCACCCACAGCTACACTTGCGGAAATTTTGAACTTCTTGACCTCATTGTCTTTGGGGATGGAGGGATGATGGGAAGGTGACAGGAGAAATAATCATTGTCATTATTCCCCTCCCTTCGTTGCCTTGTTTGTTCACTCCTTCATTCATTCAGCCCTATAGAATTCATTCATTTTCCTCATTCAGTCCCATGAGTCTCATGAATTCATGCACTTTCAGCTGGTTTGCTCATTTTACTTTACTCATTTTATTCCCAGGATCCTTGGGCCCTAAAGTCCAAGAATGTTAGGAATGGAAAGGACCTGAGGGGCCAGGGTTAGGGAGGTGCAATTCATCCAAGCCTCCACAAAATTTCTGTCGGTCCTTTTGGTTCCCTCTGCTGACCATGACCTCTATTTCTCTCTCCTCACGATGTATGAGAGCACAGGAGGCTGGCGGGTCAGTCGGGATCCAATCTGTTTGGCTCAGTGTTGGTCTCTGCTGGGGTGTAGGGATATTGGGTTAGCTAGTGCTAGGCCCCTTGAGGCTCTGGGGGTTGTGGACTCCCCTCTCTGTGGGCCATGAGGCTCCCCAGGACTTGCCCGAAGCTCAGAGCAACAAATATTGCCAGAGAGAAGCTGAAACCCCCCTGGACTCTTGGGAGCTTCATACTTCGGCCTCTCTGAACTGGGCCAGAAAGGCTCTGAAAAGCAGATTCGAAAACCTACACGTTTTGTAAAAACACCTTTGCACTTGGAACCCTAGAGGAATTTTCCTTTGATCCTCCCTTCTCTCGAGGGGGCTGGAGTGTGGACAAGAAAGAGCCAACAACCTTCTCAATGCAGCTTTCATTCCCACACAAGCGGGGATTATCCAGCTCTGCACCAGCCAGCCACTGGCTCTGGATCCAGCTCAATTTTCCTCCTCCCTCCTCTTGCCAGCTCCCTTTTCTCTCTATATCCCCCTCACACCTCCGTCTCCTTTCCATCTTTGGCCTCCTCTCTTTCTCTGCTTTTGGCCCCTTCATGCCTCCCCCTCCTACCTTCTGCCGCTCATGCTCTTGCCTCCTCTGGCTTCACCTGTTTGTTACCTCCTCTCAACCTCTTCCCTCTCTTTTCCTCTTCTTTCTTCTCCTCTCTGTCTTTTTCACTCTCCAATTCCCTTGAACTCTTCCCGTCCTCCCTGCTCTCTCTCTTCTCTGTTTCCCAGTTTTCCTGTTTTTGTCTTTCTCTTTGTCTCTGTCTCTTTGGATTCTTCCCTCTCTTTCTTGCTCTCCTTCCTTCTCAGTCCACCATCTTCTGTCTTTATCTGTTTATAGCTGGCTCCTCACTCTATCTTTCTCTTGGTTAAACTCCTCTTTGTCTTCCTCTTCTCTTTGTCTATAGCCCTCTTTTGTCTCCCCTTCTATTATCTCAGTCTACCCGATTCAGTTAAATAACGAGAAGAGACTGGGCACTGGTCAGCAGTCAGGAACAGAATGGGAGCTCCTGGCCAGTGGGGATGATTTCATTCCTTGTCCTTGGATTCCGTGTACCTAGCACAGTGCCCGGACACCTAGTATGTGCTTAATAAATGCTTGTGGATTAAAACCTAAAGGAGCGTGACCCAGAGCTAGCCTTTCAGCTGAACAAGTTTGGATATGTTTCCTAATTAGGACAAGAGTCCAGTCCTAAGGGCAGCCGCCTTGAGCATGGCAGGTGCAAGGGAACGACAAATTCAAGGGTCTGGGGAAAAGAGCAGATCCTGATACCAGTCTGTCCTCCAAATCCCTTTCCAGCTTTCAGCTCCTACATGAACTCTGCACCCTGGCCAAAGAAGCCTCAGTGCCAGCCTCTGATCAGGTCCCCACCTTTGCTCACTCCATTCCCTCACTGTCTGCCTCGGGCGAGTTCTGGCCCGTCATGTTGTCCCCACCCTTGCCAACTCAGCCAAAAGTCCTCCTCTGTTTCCTGACCCTTCTGGTTCTTCTCCTTAGGACTGAAAATGCCGTTATTGGACGATTAACCACACGTGCCACGCAATCCCAATGTCTCACTCTTGCAACTATAGAATGTCAGAGCAGGAAGACTCCTTGGAGAATGTGTGTATCTGACAGAGAAGCAAACTGAGGCCTGGGCAGGGAAAGGGCCCAGTGGTCCTTAACTGATTACATCGTTTGACTTGTTTTCTTTTGCAGATGTTTAGTCAGTCAGAAACATTTATTAAGCATCTACCATGTGCCAGGCACTGTGCTAAGCTTCTGGAATTCGGGTTCCCTATCTAGATTGTATTTTTCTGCTTGGTTATACACAGCAGATGAGATACTCAGTGACCATGGGGATTATTGGAGTTAAACTCCTGTAAGAGTTTAAAGATACGAGGAGAATGAGTAGAAGAAGGTTGGTGGGGAAGTAGAATAGGAATTCTGTGGGAACAGGCATTGAGTCAACATGTGAGTAGAAATGACCATAATTAGGGAAAAATAAGGGGAAGAAGTCAAGTACAAATGTCTCAGGAACCCCCAATGGTCCACAGACCATACTTTGAAAACATTGTGTTAGAAAATGATGGGTGGGGCAGCTAGGTGGTGCAGTGGATAAAGACCTGGAGTCAGCAGCACATCAGGTCAAATATGAACTGAAACACTTACTAGCTGTGTGATCCTGGAGGAGTCCAAGGTCGTTTCTGGCCCTCAGCCTAAGTCCTGGCTCTTACATTGCAGGAACACAGAGTGAGGGTTCTAAGGCTGCTGAAGAAGGCCAGAGGCACTGGCTCCTCAGGCAGGCCCGACTGCCCCGAAAGGCCTGCCAGCTCTGCTTTGCTCCCTGCTCTGGTGTGGGGTCCCAATTCGGTTCTGCCCACCCACCACATGCTCTGCCCATGGCCGTTCCCGGACACGTGCCTGTCGTCATGCCTGTCCTTGGGTGAAAACCTTTGTCCAGGCCCATGTCTGTGTCCGTGCCCGTATGTGTGTCCGAGTTCATTGCTCAGGGCCTTTGCCCTTGGCCTGGCAGTGCTCAGTCTCGGCTTGCAGGCCCTCCCTTGCCTGTGCCCTTTCTCTTGTTTTCATCTCTGCTCTGGCAGAGGGACAGTCAGGAGTGCAGGAAGCAGTATGCTTCTCCTCCCCCATGTGGATGTAGTCTTGGGTTCCATTTCTGGTGCTCTGCTACCATCTAGTGGCTACAGACATAGCCTGAAGCTCCTAATGGCAGATGGTGCTATCCCTTTACCTTTCTAGTCTCGTGATGGAAAATGCTGTCCACATCCAAAGAAAGAACCATGGAGTTTGAATGCAGATCAAAGCAGACTATTTGCCATTTTTTTCTTCTGTTGTGTTTTGTTTCCTCTTTCTGGTGGTTCCTCCTATTGGTTCTAATCCTTACAACATCACTAATGTGAAAATATGTTTAATAGGAATGTATATGTATAGTCTATGTCAGATTGTGTGCCGTCTTGGGGAGGGAGGTGGGGAGGGAGGGGGAGAAATTTAAAACTCAAAAGCTTATGGAAGTGATTGCTGATAAATCAAAATAAATTAATAATTTAAAAAAAATTTAAAAAGAAAGAAAGGAATGGGTCACTGTTTGGGCCAAGACATCCATCTCGCGCCCTCCCCTCTTCTCTTCACTTCCAGGCCCCAGCTGCCTGAAAGGCTGGCCATCAACAAGTTGGTTTTCCCCAAGGTAGAAGCAACACAAGGGATTATTCAACTTGTTTACCCATCTCTGGCTTCTACACCTGAGCTTTATTCCCTTGGAAGATGCAATTTATCATGCCAAGGGATTTGATCTAAAATGAAAATAATCTCAATCTCAATCTCTCTCTCTCTCTTTATAAGCCTCTTACCCTTTAGGTAGATCAACTGGCTCCACCTGGCTACTTCTCATCTATATACAAGTAGCTCCCATGGCCCAATCCCACAGCTCCCAGAACAGGGTGAGTTGCCACTGTAACCCTCCTTGTGGTAGCCCTGCCTGAACTGTAGACTCTCAGAACTTGAGGTCACTCCAGGGTCACTCATTTTGAGGAAGAATAAACTGAGGCTCAAGGTAACTACATCAGACTAAAATCACCTTGTTTTAAGGTGCTTAGAAATAATCTACTCCAACCCCTTTATTTTGCAGAGGCAGAAATTGAGGCCTGAAGAGAGGGAAGGGACCTACTCAAGGTCACTACAGGAGTCAGAGGCAGAAAGAAAACCCAGGTCTCATGTTTACTTTGTAAATGGACCGGACTTGTGTGGGAGAGAGGGGGAGAATGGACATGAGAGCTTTCGACATATGCCTGAATGTTTTTCGTGCGGAACAGGGCATGGACTTTTTCTATGTTATCCCAGGGGCCAGAATAGGTAACAATGGTTGAGCATAAACTGGAGGATGACTCATACAGTCTGTTGTAGAGGGGACCCTTGGCGATATATGGCTTAGGTGAGATGACCTCCAAGGTCCCCCACAGTTCTCCGATTTAGCATATCTATAATTCTGTCTTCCTCTTCTTTCGTCTTCGATAAATGTGGGTGTTTGAACTCAGGAGGGGAAAGGGGGAGTCAGAAAAGGTAGTGGGGGGGCCATGGAAAATAAGTTCAAGCATTTCAGGAGCTGGATCTGGAAGCGATAGGTAATTCTAGGTCTCTAGTAGACTCACAATTTCCAGACAAACCCAGATTCAGGGTGACTGAGTTTTCTTGGATATGCTAATGTTTGAGGAGGGAAGTGATCAGTCAAGAGACAGAATGGGCTGAGATGGAGAAGACCTGGGACCCTGGTGTCAAGGGGACAGAGAGTGGTCAGGAAGGACATGAAATAAAGGGAGACTAAGAATGAAATAGAAGTAGGATATGGGGCAGGATCTAGGAGAGGATGGACAGAAGTGAGAAGGTTAGAAGAGAGCAGGTGGGTTTAATGTCAGAGTGCCTGGGTTTGAATTCTAGCTCTGTACTTACTACCTCTATGGCCTTGGACAGGTCACTTTTGCACTGTTTCCTTGGTTTCCATATCTGTCAAATGAAGGAATTGGACTTGATGAGATCCCTAAAGTTCCTTTCAGCAGTAAATACCACTTCTTCAAGAAACTAGAAATGGTACATGCCCACCCAACTCCCACCTGGTTTGTTATCCATCAGGCCACAGTGTGAGCCAACCGATAGTTAAGGAAGAAAAGGAAAGTGAGTGACGGGAACAACTAGGTGGTGCAGTGGATAGAGCACTGGCCCTGGAGTCAAGAGAACCTGAGTTCAAATTTGGTCTCAGGCCAGACACTCGACACTTACTAGCTGTGTGATCCTGGGCAAGTCACTTAACCCCAATTGCCTCACACACACACACACAAAAAAGAGTGAGTGAGTCAGGAGTCAGAAGAGAGAGGAGTTAGCTGAAGACTTAAAAGATGGGGTGGAAATCACTAGTACCCAGCAGTCAACAAGTCCAGCCTATTTGAGCTTTATTATAGAAGGGAAAATAGTAATTTCTGGGAGCTAGATGGAGGTGAGGATGACATAAGGATGCCTGTGCTGTCCCCATCTCTTTGCCTTCCCCTAGGCCTGCCTCTTCAATCTCACCAAGCATCACAACATCCATAAGTCTATTTGGTTTGCAGCAGAAGAATCACAGCTCTAGGGACTTCCTTACCTGTGTTGGGCTTCCTTCCCCAGTCCCCAGTCCCTAATCCCCAGTCCACAGTCCCTTGGGGAAGACGATTTCTGAGGCTCCCGGCACTTCAGCATCCAATGGGGACAATCTGTCTCTCTCCCTCAGATGACCTGAGTGTGACTGTCTCTAACCCTAACCCTAAACACTTCTCACCCAATTCTCAGAGTAGGATGGGGTCCCCATAGGCACTCTTGTTCCAACTTCCTCCAAACCATAGTGTATCAGAGATCTCCATGGCAGTTTCTTTTGAGAAGAAAGGAAAAACTGAGGTTCAAAATCACTGAGTCACGGACCACCTAGTTTGAACAGGGTTAAGAAACCATCTAGTCTAAGCCCCTCATTTTAATTTTTTTTTAAGCAATGCATGTATTTTTTTAAAAACACACCACCATTACATCCCTTGAAAGAAACATAGATAAGCAAAACTGACAATGAGGGCAACCATATCTGACAAAATATGCAACATTCTGCACACCTAGTCATTCACACACATACACGCATGCACACACATACATGCACATGCACACACATACACGCATGCACACACATACACGCATGCACACACACGCACACACACACACTCCTCTACCAAGAGGAGGGATATGTTTATTACCTTCTCTTCTCTGGGCCAAGGATCTGGCATGGACATTCATTGAGTTTCCATGGTCTTTACGGGCTGACATTCATGGAGACATTACTCTTTTGGCTTTACTTTCCTCATCGTGCATCACTTCATTCAAGTCTCTGTGTTTCTCTGAATTGTTCCTCATGGTACCATAATAACCCATCATATTCACAGACCACAATTTTCTCAGTTATGCTCCACTTCATTGGCACCCACATTGTGGCCAGTTTTCTGCTATGACAAAGTTCTCCTATGATTATTTGGTTACCTATGGTTCCTTTCTTTTTGTCACTGGCCTCCTTAAGGTATGTGCCCAATGGTGGTACTGATAGATCAAAGGCCTTGTTCCTAAGCACCCATGGTCTGAGCATCCTGCACAGAGTTAGGGGTACATGCTTGTTCCACAGAATTGAAATTCTAAAAACCCATGTAATCGATTTCTCCAGGCATTCAATCCCAGGGAAAGATCTGTGTCTCCAGGCAAACTTGTCTGCTTTCTTTCATCAGACAAGGAGTACATAAAAGTCCCCAGTGCATTTCTCCTTCCATCTCCTCTTACAGGGAACTTAGAGGTAAATCTCATGCCAACTAGAGTGACCGACTAACCTAGGTGCTTGGTGGCCTCTCTTCCCCTATCTCCTTCATTCTGTCTCCATTAGGAACCAGGCCTTTTCTGCTCAAGCCTCGTCACTCAGTGCACACTGGATTGGTCTAGGTTTCGTGATTCTGCCATTATTTCTTGCCTAGCTCCAATTTCTGTGTCCTTATCACTCCCCAGCCCCTTTCTTTCTAACTCTGAGCCTGTTTTCTCAGCTATAAAATGAGGGATTGAGACTACATTATCTCAAAGGACCTTTCCAGCTTTCCATCCTATAGTATGGAGGTCAGCAAGTCCCCTTCATGAAAGACAGCCTTAGTTGTACACTTTGACTGCTGAGGAACTGCAGTCTGCAGCCTGCCATAAGGTTGGGCCCACTCTCTTCCTACCTCCATCACTTAACACCTCAGGGTTTTAGTTTCCCCACAGAAAAAAGTGAGAGTAGAGGGTTAGGGTATTGGACAAGGTGATGTCTGAGGTCCTTTTCAGCTTGACCAACCTAAGGATCCATGAACAACCACCATCACACACACACATACACACACACACACCCCAAACTTGAACTACTAGGGGGCAACTAGGTGGCACAGTGGAGAGAGCACCGGCCCTGAAGTCAGGAAGACCTGAGTTTAAATCTGACCTCAGACCAAACACTTGACACTTACTGGCTGTGTGACCCTAGGCAAGTCACTTAACCCCAAATGCCAAAAGAAAAAAAACAAAAACAAAAAAACCCTGAACTAGGCTGATCTCTGTAACTCTGCTAAATAGATTCCCTGCTCAATCACCCCAGACTCCCCACTTCTCTCTGGGTGTCATTTATCCATGCTTAAAATTCAGGGGTTGGACAAGGTGACCTTTCCAGCTCTCATAATCTATGAATCAATGAAGCATTGTTACACATATCAAGGCTGACCTGGGTTCAATTAGTTCTCATTCTGGGGAGGGTTGTGGTTAATTTTCAAAGCCCAGCTCAAATTCCTCCAGGAAAGACAGCAGAAAGTCAAGGCTAGCAAAACCTGAAGGTGAAGAGCACCTCTGTCTCAGTTAGACCAGCAGTTGCAAGTGCTACACCACTATTACCACCACATGGGTTTGAGTCTCTCTTCCTCAACTTTCTCCAATTTCCAGAGTCCTGGTTCATTAGTATATGGACCATTGCTCTTTTCAGATTCAGTAGCTTCCCCCATCAGTCTCATTCTTGCCCCATTTTAGCAGGTTCCAGCTACCCCCAAATCCAATGCCTGGCCAGGGCAGGGGCCCACGGATCTGGGACCTGGTCAGAACAGTACATCTGTGACTGAATTCATCCTGCTGGGGCTAACAGAGCATCAGGAACTGAAACCCATCCTCTTCACTATCTTTCTCCTGGCCTATGTAGCCACTGTGGGTGGTAACCTGAGCCTCTTGGCTGCCATCTTGGTGGAGCCCAAGCTGCACACACCCATGTACTTCTTCCTGGGGAATTTGTCTTTCCTCGACATTGGGTGCATCACTGTCACAGTGCCCCCAATGCTGGAACAGCTTCTGTCCCAAGACCATTCAGTTTCCTTTGCTTCCTGCTTCTCCCAGCTCTTCTTCTTCCACCTGCTGGCTTGTGTGGATTGCCACCTACTGACTGCCATGGCCTATGATCGCTTCTTGGCTATTTGCCGCCCACTGACCTATCCCACTCAAATGAGCAGAGGCATCCAGGGGAGTCTGATAGGCATATGCTGGACCATCTCTTTCTGCAATGCACTGACCCACACAGTGGCTCTGTCTGTGATCAACTTCTGTGGCCCCAATTTGATAAACCACTTCTTCTGTGATGTGCCACAGCTTTTTGGCCTCTCCTGCTCCAGCACTAGTCTCAATGAGAGGTTGCTCTTTGTAGGTGCAGCCTTCATGGGTGTGGTGCCCCTGGTGCTCATCTCTATCTCCTATGCCCACGTGGCTGCTGCTGTGCTGCGGATCCATTCAGCTGAGGGCCGGAAGAAGGCCTTCTCCACCTGCAGCTCACACCTGGCCATTGTGGGCATCTTCTATGGCACAGGCCTCTTTAGCTACATGTGTCTCGACTCTGTTGAGACATCGGACAAGGACAAAGGCATTGGGATCCTCAACACCGTCCTCAGTCCTATGCTAAACCCACTCATCTACAGCCTCCGGAACCCTGATGTTCAGGGTGCCCTGCGGAGGGTGTTCATGGGCCAAAGGCCGATGGAATAAGGGGGCTACAGCCCCCAGAGCCTCTTCGTTTCTTTGCTTCTTTACTTTCTTCCTTCCTGTCTTTCATCGCTTGCTTCCTTCATCTTTCTCCGTTGACATTTTCCTTTATTTCTTTCCTTTCTTCTTCCTCTTTCACCCTTGACACTTCTCTTCCTTTCTTCTCTCCCTCCTCTACTTCACTCCTTCATGCTCTCATTGCCTTACCCTTTTCCTCCTTCCCTTTCTCCTTTACTCAATCCTTTTTCTCATTTCCCTCTTCTCTTCTGCCTTTCCAACTCTTCTCTCTTCCATTTCTCTCCCCCCCCCAAAAAAAACAGAGTGGGTGGATTGTCCAAAGGTCACATACTAAGTTGTGGCAGATCTTGTACTCACACCTAGGTGAGAGGGGATGAGTAAGAAGGAAAAGACAGAGGTGACAGAACAGATAAAAAAGGGAAGGATGGTGTGATTTAAAGGGAGATTCAGAAATCAGGGTGTGGTATAATTCTATTCAAGAACTTTTCAGTATAGTTCAAATGCATTTCAAGCATTCAATACAGAAAGGGCTTTGCCCCCTCTAGGGGAGGAAGTTTCTACCAGAGTATTTCTCACTGTGGTAGGAGCCCTGGCTATACGAGAAGACCCCAGTCTAGGGAAGTTAGGCTTTTCTAAAGAAGGGGTGGGGCTGAGGATCAGGAGGTAGTTGTAGTTCAAAGCTTGGTTTCTAGGGAAACCAGACTTTCTGACTGGAAATGCAGTCTGAAAGGGGTTGGATTGTCCCCAGTCTAGTTCCTAAATTTATTCAGACTTATCATAAGAAGGGGATTTTAGTGGAAACATTTCCAAAACGATGTGGAACAGAGAACATTTTATTTAAAAATAAAAACCAGAAGGTAGGGAATTTTCCCTTGGACCGACAGAGTGGGAAGTTAGATTACTAATCCTAAAGAATGAATGGCTCAAACAACAAATCAAGGAAACAATCAATAACTTCATTCAATAAATAGAACGACAATAATGAGACAACATACCAAAACTTATGGGATGCGCAAAAGCAGTTCTTAGAAGTTTTATATCTCTAAATGCTTACGTGAATAAAATAGAGGAGATTAATGAACTGGGCATGCAACTAAAAAAACTAGAAAAAGAACAAATTAAAAATCCTCAAGTAATTACCAAATTAGAAATACTGAAAACCAAAGGAGAGATTAATAAAATTGAAATTAAGAAAACTATTGAACTAATAAATAAAACTAAGAGCTGGTTTTAAGGCAAAAAACAATAAAATAGATAAACCTTTGGTTCATTTAATTTAAAAAAGAAAGAAGAAAACCAAATTACCAATCTCTTCTTCTTTTTTCTTTTTTTTTGGGGGGGGAAGGGCTAGGCAATGGGGTTAAGTGACTTGCCCAGGGTCACACAGCTAGTAAGTGTTATTATGTGTCTGAGGCCAGATTTGAACTCAGGTCCTCCTGAATCCAGGGCTGGTGCTCCATCCACTGTGCCACCTAGCTGCCCCCAAATTACCAGTCTCAAAAATGAAAAGGGTGAATTCACCACCAATGAAGAGGAAATTAAAACAATAATTAGGAACTATTTTGTCCAACTATAGGCCAATAAATTTGACAATCTTACCGAAATGGATGAATATTTACAAAACTATAAATTACCCAGATTAACAGAAGAGGAAGTAATATACCTTAATAACCCCATTTCAGAAAAAGAAATTGACCAAGCCATCAATGAACTCCCCAGGGAAAAAAATCTCCAGGGACGGATGGATTTACAAGAGAATTCTATCAAACATTTAAAGAACAATTAACTCCAATACTATATAGACTATTTAGGAAAATAGGCAAAGAAGGAGTCTTACCAAATTCTTTTTATGATACAAATACGGTGCTGATACCCAAACCAGGAAGAGTCAAAACAGAGAAAGAAAATTATAGACCAATTTCCCTAATGAATGTAGATGCAAAAATTTTAAATAAAATATTAGCAGAAAGATTACAGCAACTTATTATGAGAATAATACACTATGGCCAGGTAGGATTTATACCAGGAAGGCAGGGCTGGTTCAGTATTAGGAAAATTAACAGCATAATTGATCATATCAACAACAAAACTAACAGAAACCACATGATCATCTCAATAGATTCAGAAAAAGCTTTTGACAAAATACAACACCCATTTCTATTAAAAACACTAGAGAGCATGGGAATAAATGCAGTCTTCCTTAAAATGATAAGTAGCATCTACCTAAAACCCTCAGCAAGCATTATATGTAATGGGGACAAGCTAAAAGCATTTCCAATAAGATCAGTGGTGAAACAAGGATGTCCATTATCACCACTGTTGTTCAACATGGTACTAGAAATGTTAGCTTTAGCAATAAGAGAAGAAAAAGAAATTGAAGGTATTAGAATAGGCAAAGAAGAAACAAAGTTATCACTGTTTGCAGATGATATGATGGTACATCCAGAGAATCCTAAAGAATCAAGTAAAAAACTACTTGAAATAATGAACAACTTTAGCAAAGTTGCAAGTTATAAAATAAACCCACGTAAATCATCGGCTTCTCTATATATTACCAACAAAGCATAACAGCAAAAGATAGAAAAAGAAATTCCATTTAAAGTTACCATAGACATTATAAAATATTTGGGAATTTACCTACCAAAACAAACCCAGGAATTATATGAACACAATTAAAAAACACTTTTCACACAAATAAAGTCAGTTCTAAATAGTTGTAAAAACATCAGTTGCTCATGGGTAGGCTGAGCTAATATAATAAAAATGACAATTCTACCTAAGCTAATCTATTTATTCAGTGACATACCAATCAAACTACCAAAATATTATTTTATAGAGCTAGAAAAATAATAACAAAGTTCATCTGGAAGAACTAAAGGTCCAGAATATCAAGGGAACTAATGAAAAGAAATGCTAGGGAAGGTGACCTAGCCATACCAGATCTTAAATTGTACTATAAAGCAACAATCAGCAAAACTATTTGGTACTGGCTAAGAAAGAGAGTGGTGGATCAGTGGAATAGGTTAGGTATGCAAGACACAGTAATCAATGACTATAGTAACCCACTGTTTGATAAACCCAAAGGCCCCAGCTTCTGGGATAAGAACTCACTATTTGACAAAAACTGCTGTGATACTGGAAAAGAGTATGGCAGAAATTAGGCATAGGTCAAAATCTCACACCAAATACCAAAATAAAGTCAAAATGGGTACACCATTTAGATATAAAGGCTGATACTGTAAGCAAACTGGGAGAACAAGGAATTGTTTACCTATCAGATTTATGGAGAACAGAAGAATTCATGACCAAACAGGAGATAGAGAACATTGTGAAATGCAAAATGGATAATTTTGATTACATTAAATTGAAAAGTTTTTGCACAAAGTCAATGCGACCAAGATTAGGAGGGAAGCAGAAAACTGGGAAAGAATTTTTACAACCAGTGTCTCTGATAAGGGCCTCATTTCTAAAATATATAGAGAACCAAGTCAAATTTATAAGAACACAAATCATTCCCCAATTGATAAATGGTTAAAGGATATGAACAGGCAGTTTTCAGATGAAGAAATTAAAGCTATCTATAGTCATATGAAAAAATGCTCTAAATCACTATTGATTAGAGAAATGCAAATCAAAATGACTCTGAGTTACCACTTCATACCTATCAGATTGGCTAACATGACAAAACAGGAAAATGATAAATATTGGAGAAGATGGGCGAAAATTGGAACACTAATGCATTGTTGGTGGAGTTGTGAACTGATCCAACCATTTTGGAGAGCAGTTTGGAACTATGTCCAAAGGGCTGTGAAAATGTGCATACCCTTTGACCCAGCAATAGCACTTCTAGGGCTGTATCTCAAAGAGATCATAAAAATGGGAAAAGGACTCACATGTACAAAAATATTTATAGCAGCTCTTTCTGTGGTGGTCAAGAATTGGAAATTGAGAGGATGCCCATCCATTGGGAAGTGGCTGAACAAGTTGTGATGTATGAATGTAATGGAATACTATTGCACTATAAGAAATGATGAGCAAGCAGACTTCAGAAAAACCTGGAAAGACTTGTATGGACTGATGCTGAGTGAAGTGAGCAAAACCAGGAGAACGTTGTACATGGTAACAGCCACGTTGTGAGATGACTTTGATAGACTTAGCTCTTCTCAGCAATGCAAAGATCTAAGACATCTCCAAAAGTCTCATGATGGAAAATGCTGTCCACATCCAAAGAAAGAACTATGGAATTTGAATGCAGATCGAAGCATACTATTTGCTCTTTTTTTTCTTCTGTTTTGTTGTGTTTCCTCTTTCTTATGGTTCCTCCTATTGGTTTTAATTCTTCCTTACAACATGACTAATATGAAAATATGTTTAATAGGAATGTATATGTAGAGCCTATATCAGATTGCATGCTGTCTTGGGGAGGGAGGTGGGGAGGAAGGGGGAGGAAAAATGTAAAACTCAAAAGGTTATGGAAGTGATTGTTGAAAACTAAAAATAAATTAATAACAAAAAAGACTTTAGTGAAAGCCTGGTTGAAATGCAAGGATAATCATCTATAACATTCCCCTAATAATTCAACCAAAAAAGAAAGTTAAAGTCATCAGGACATAGAACTTGTCCCTGATGAGTCCATGCTGCCTCTTAGTAACCGCTGCTTCCCTTTCTAAGGACTCATACATAATTCCACTAATAATCACTTCCTGACCCTTACCCAATTCCATGTTAGCTGTTCAGAATCCATCTTCTTACCTCTTTCCAAACTTAGGACTTCCATATAGGTCCATTTCTTGCCCTGCATCATCTCCTCTCCTTTTCTCCACAACCTTTCAAAGGCCAGCCCCTTCAGGGACCTTAGAAGCTACCTGATCATACCCTCTCCAAGGCTTTTTGGATTCCTTATGGTGATGCTCCTCTGGGTCTAGAAATCAGGCCTCTCTAAGGGCTCCTCAGTGCTCCTGTTGTTAGGGTCTCTCTCATCTTGG